CGGGCGGCACCGCGGGCGTGCTGTAGGGCGGCCCTGCCCAGGCCCCTTCTCCCCGATGAGATTAGGCAAACGTGTGAGTAACCAAGCCCTGTCAGCTGCCAAGGGCGTGAGAAATCCCCAGAGGAGGTGGAGAGGAGGGTAGAGAAAGCGGGTTTACAGAGGGATGGAAGGTGAGGGTGTGTCTGTGGACTACCTACTAGTGCACCCTGCGTGCGCAGCAGCTCCGTGCAACCGCCCCCCCCCGTTCCCACTTTACAGATGAGGAGACTGAGGCCTTGGGCATGAAGTGCTGCCCACTGCAGTCAGGAAGCGGCTACACGAGGGCCTCATCCCTTCACCTTGGTGGGGAATGGACTTCCTGCCCTCTACTTGTTTATGTTAATTAAGGGGATGTAGGTTGTGATTGGTAGCTAGCCTAGGGATCTCAAGTTCCCTACCAGCCTGGAGTACAGGTGAGCCCCTATCTCAAAAATAAGTACACACTCCAGTGTGGTGGCTCACACCTTTCATGGTGGTTCAAAGCCAACACAGGCAGGAAAATCTGTGAGACTCTCATCTTTGATTAACCACCAAAAAAAACAGAAGTGGAGCTGTGGCTCAAGTGGTACGGTGCTAGCTTTGAGAGAAAAAAAGAAGCTCAGGGACACTACCTAGTCCCTGAGTTCAAGCCTCAAGACCAGCAGAACACACATACACACACAAACACACACACACACACACACAGATTAAAAAATAAACCAAAAGGAACTCACATTGCCAAGATTAAACACCTTCTTAATTATCCCAGATCTCCTTGAGGACTTTAAGCCAATTTTCTTCATTGTAGGTCCACAAGGAGCCCACAGGGACTCAACCTCTCCTTCTAGAAGCCTCTCCAGGTCCCTGCCCCCTTGACCTTCCGGGAGAGTGACCCCAACCACATTGACTTGTGAATGGCCAAAACCTTGTGTGCGTCTCGGCATTTACTGTATTGGAATTAAAACAGAAGATTTAAGACTATGCTTTAAAAAACAACAATAAACCCATTACATATTCACAGAAACCATTTTATGTGAAGTAACTATACTTCCCAGAGAGAAACATAGAAAAATGGCTTTGCTTTACATTTTTGCAAATGGAAGCCAGCCAGATTCTTTATCTGTGTTCATTCTGCCGAGATTGATTAATCTAGATAAGGCATACAGATAGTCTAGGTACCAAATGGTAAAAGATAGGTAACTCCCTAATCTAAACAAAATGGAGGTAGTAAAAATATTTTTTCTTACTGTGTGCTAGTGATTCACGCCTGTAATCCTAGCTATATAGGAGGCTAGAATCTGAGGATCAAGGTTTGAAGCTTGCTGGGGCAGCAAAGTCCATTAGACACTTATCTCCAATTAACTACCAAAAAGCTAGAAGAGGCGGTACAGCTCAAGTGGTAGAGTGAAAACCTTGAGCATAAAAAACAAGAGAGAGCACGAGGCCATGAGTTCAAGCCCTAGTACTAGCACAAAACCAACAAAAAGTCTTTTATGCTTATGCCAATTTATATCCCAACAGTAATAATGTAAAAAGAAAGTGAATATGCATAATCTCATCTACCCAAGGTCAGTCATTGCCAGTGCTTGTGCATATAGAACAGGCCATAGACTGGGCCTGTGATGGACGCAATGTTCCATCGTTCACTCAGTGGCATAAGGGAACTTGTGGATGGGGTGGAGGTTCAGAATCTTGATGTGGGGAAGATGTAGAAGACATTTTCCCAGCTGTGGGCAGAGGGCAGGGTGAGGAAAGAAGATGTAACAGGCAGCTCGGGAAGCTGGACTGCTTCCGGAGCAAGTTTGGGGATTCCTCCCAAAAGGAATTCTTTTCTTTGGGCTGGGAAGAAGCTTTGTCATCACAGGTCTCAGAGGACTGCTGACCTCTAGGACTCTCAGATAATACATTTGACTCTTTACGTTGTGAGTGTTTGTGTATTTGAAACCACCAGGCTTGTGGTGATTTGGGACAGCATCAGTAAGGAGATAGTACACTGCCCTGCGGTCACCTTCGTCTACATCAGGAGGTGGACGGCCCAGGAGATCACCCACCCCGTGCTGACACTCCTTCGCCTTCTAGATTCCTTTGGCGATACTCAAGACTCAAGAATTCATGATGCAAGCCCACTCTACCAATCTGTGTGGCCTCATTCTCTGGGCTGATCTCATGAGGACAAGCCATGTTGCTAGTGTGTACAACCCTAGTCTTTTTTTTTTTTTTTTGTCGGTCGCGGGGCTTGAACTCTGAGCCTGGGCTCTTCAGTTCAATGGGGGCACTCTACTACTTGAGCCACAGCACCACTTCCGGTTTTCTGGTGGTTAATTGGAGATAAGAGTCTCCCGGACTTTCCTTGCTCAGGCTGGCTTTGAACCTTGATCCTCAGATCTCAGCCTCCTGAGTAGCTAGGATTATAGGTGTGAGCCACTGGCACCTGGCTACAAGCTACTCTTGAGGGTACCTGCTGATGGAATCTGAATGGGTGTGAGCAGGACTTGAGTGTGAGAGCTGGGGTGTCTTCACACATGCACATCAGACTCCACATGGTGTGGGGCATTGAGGGAAGAAGAGAGCGACAAGGCAAAGCCGCGTACTGGGATTCAGAACCAATATTCCTCACGTGCTTTGGCTCCTCAGTTTAGAACTCTGCAGAATCCAAGAATCTCATGTTTTATGGCCATCCCTAAAAGCATTTGAAAAGTATATTTGTTCAGGGAAGAGAGAACATATTTTATAACAGGTTGTAAATGTTTCAACATAGAGGACTTACAACTCTGTTTGTATTGAGATCAGCCTGGCATGTACTTGACACTATTTTTTCCCTTCACGCATGCGTATGAACACATTATTATCTTTACATTTCGGTCTAACTATATCATCATGTACAACTATTTGCTCAAGCAAAGCCATGAGCTGTGAGGGAAGGAGGTCAGGACAACCGCCTTCTAGAACAGGCCTCTCTGGGACATTGGGAGTTAAAGGCATTTCAAAAACAGTAGCTGATTATCTTCCACATGCAATTCCCATGTGAGAGATGCTCTCATATCGGCAGGAAAAATGGCGTTCTCATCACCCAGGATAGGATACAAGGGGGCCGAGGGAAATCTGTACATACCAACCTTGTTTAACTGAACTTTGTTCCCTGCTTACTTCTCCACCCAACTAACTACGCCAGCCCAATCCCCTTAGCCTTGTCACATTTTTCTACTTGTCACAATTAACTATGGTTGCACAATTCATTCTAGGTACATGTTCGTCATTTCCCCTGAAGATTCTCATGCCACACAAAATACGCTTTAACTAAATCCGTCAATCTCTCCAGTATCATCTTATTTCTCAGGCTCAACCAGAAAACTCCAAGAAAGTAGCAGTCATTTTTTTTTCCTTTCTGCCATGAGACATTTAGATGATTTCAAACCAATTCTCTGTAGCACTTTCAGGTTATTTTAGTTACAATAATAATCTCTGTATTGGACATTTAGGTAAGTCCATCTTTTTTCTTACATTATTTTTTTATCTTTTCAGTTCACACCAAACAACTGGCAATAAGCTAAAAGCAACCAAAGAATAAACAGCAATGCAGGACAATCCTGTTTCTTCAAGCCTGAAAAATTCTAAAATGTGCTAAGATGCTCAAAGTCTGTTTTCAGAGAATCTTGATGATATAGTACAAGTGATTGGTATGTGGTAGAATAAACAAGACCTAGAACTTAGTGACTTTCACAAATCCTTGCCTTAGCCTGGTAGCTTTGTTTTTCCAAATGATTTGCTTTGGCCCGAACCCTTGAGCCAGGGTAAACAGCAACCACTGATAACACTGCAAACTCTCTTCCTTAAGGTCTGTTGCTGTTGATCAAACCAACTTGTGTAGTGAACCCGGATACCAGGAATCAGGAGAAGGAAACTGAACCTTATAGAGTTGCTCTTTACACTACTTTCTTCTTTCATCCTTTCAACAGTGTTGATGCCCTAAACATGTGCATAGTGGAGGGAGGAAGGGACTAGCCCAAGGCCACATGGTTAGTAATGGATTAGAATGCCAACCAAGGGCTGTCTGGCTCCCAAATCCGTGTCCTAACAAGTATGCTATGTGCTCAAACACAAAGCCTGACACTTAATTAGTAGGACCTCAGTGAATGGTTTCTAAGGGATATAGGCCTTCAGAGTTTTCCACAGTCACACACAGCATGGTAGCAGCAAGCTTGGGAATAGAAAGAGGAATTCTGACTTTAACCCATGGAGCTGAGGTCATGAAGAACATTGAACATTGAACCAAAGAACAAAGGGATACAACTGCATCCAAATCCAGCCACTCAAAAATAGTTTGTTGAAGGTAATGACTTTAGGTCACTAAATGTTGAAACAAAGCCATAGCAACCACTGGATTCTGGATTCTAATGGGGGAAACCCTGGTGACAAACGGATCGGCTTGACACCAAAGCAATAGAGAATAGAATAAAACATTGGTAGGACTAGAGCATGTCTGTTGCAGGGCTGGGCTGCAGACTCTCTTCAGATGAGCAGCCATGTGGTTTTTTGGTTTCATACAACCTACCTGCTGGAGCTGTTCTGCTGCTATGTAAGTCTTGGTGGCCTTTGCTTGATTGTAGCAGTGTGACTGATAACGCTTGTTTTAGATAAAATGCAGTGACATATTGCCACCCACAACCCACTAACTTGACAACACTAGCCGTTCAGCGCAGGTTAAGAAATCGTGCTTTCGTTTTCTGATAGGTCGTGCTTAGATCCGGGACCGTTGTTTCTGAGCTATACATCTTGGACCATCTCTCTCCCTTCAGCTTCGCTTGTCCCATCTGTAAATGAGGAAAGTAAAGCATTTGTAAAATGGCATGACACTTAAGTATGCTAGTAAAAGTAGCACTACAACTTTTCAACAAGCTAGGGAAAAAAATTAAGATTCACACCCCTCAGATCATCAAGGCAGATGATATTCTTTGCACACGTTCTGTTGACTGATGAATGCGTGCTTTGGACATTCACTGTAAACACAAATATCCTTGTTTATATAGCCAGGTTGACATCCTGTTGTATCTCTTTTGAATTCATTTCACATAAGAAAATAGGATTATGTGTAATCTATTTTCAAATGCCATTCCAAATGGGACCAAATTAAACAGGTTAGGTCTTTATGTTCTGTGCTGAATTTTCGTCCTGTGCTAGGTTATCTTACTTTAAGGAAGCTGTGGAGTTTTGTGCAAACTTCACTACAGAATCAGGGCACATAGGAAACTTTACTCTGTTGACTCTTTTAGGATTGATCAACCTGTTAGTGACGGAGCTTTCTGCCCTGGCTCTTACTTTGATGCTGCTAATCCCAATGAGGTAGAAATTTCAAGAGTCCAATGACTGAGATTATTCAGAGGCCTTTCCTCCATTGTAGATCCACTATTTAGGTTTGGTGGGACCACTGGACCAAGAGATGTGGGCCTTTGTTTTTAACCATTACCTATGGGCACATTGGTTGTTCCCTATCTTTGGATAGTGTGAACAACATCCCACTGAATATCCTTACACATACTCTGGTTGTACAACTACAATGAAGCATAAATCTCTGAAAGGAATTGTGTTGTTCAATTTTGAGAACTACTAACAGATTCTTCTTAAAATGGACTGTCCTACTTTGTATTTTCCCCGACTGTGTGTCTTCTGATCTCCACTCATCCTGCTCTGAAGTCCTACAGATCTTTTTGTTTTAATCCATGGTAGCTCATTAATTAACTAAGAGAGCCATGCTCAAAGTACTGTTGTTTGGCCTCTAGGCTCTCAGATCATCCTTCTTCCCCAGGGACCCCTCCCCTGCTTTGCTGTTTGTACAGGCAGAGGAAGGGATAGAATCAAACGCATTTCCCAGGCTTCTTTACCTACTGGTTTCTAGTTAGTCTTGGCCATTGGGAGCAGAAGCAGAGGAGGCCAAGACATAGCTTCTCCCTGTTTCTGCGGGCATTTCCATTTCTCTCAGGTGGTTTCTTCCTACAGAGCCTCCTTTGCTGCAACAGCTCTGCCTTGGTTCACAGGCTCAAGAGAGTGTCCTAGACCCTATGTTCTAGTCAACTCCATCTCTTCCCAGCCTTTGGCCTGCTCACAGTGAAGCTGGGTACTGGGTCACTTCACTGGGCCCTGTTTGCTCTTTTAGTTTTGCCACATCTTTGTCTCCTTACTTTAATGATTTCTGTTGAATTATCTGATTCAGCTTTGTTTGTTCCCTCTACCTTCAAGGGCTCACCCAGGCTGATCGGTGGGGAGAAATGGACATACTGTGGATGGGAACAGAAACTGTCGCAACATCTTTTGGCAGTCAGTTGGTGCTATGTGTCAAGAGCTGTACACATGAGTGCACACTTGCCTTTTCTTTTGGAGATACGTGTTGCAATATTTATGAATGAAACAAGCTGATGTCTGGGATTTGTTTCAAAACTACCTAGTGGGTGGGAATAATGTGAATATCTAGGAGAGGAACAGATGCCTAAACACTCATGACACTCAACTCCTTATGTATGAGTATTTACACTTTGCAAAAATAAGAAGCATTTTCCAAAAGCAAAATCTTGGACATTTTATTTATTTTATTTTTTGAGGGGGGCCGGTCATGGGGCCTGAACTCTGGGCCTGGGCGCTGTCCCTCAGCTCTTCAGCTCAAGGCTGGCGCTCTACCACTTGAGCCACAGCACCACTTCCGGCTTTTTTCTTATGTGGTGCTGAGGAATCGAACCCAGGGCCTCGAGCATGCAAGGCAAGTGCTCTACTACTGAGCCACCTTCCCAGCCCATCTTGGACATTTTAATCTATCTCACAGTATCCTTAAGAAAAAGTATTCATAGAAATTTTAAAAAAGAGATTCGTCTTTGAAGATGTTTCTTAAACAGCTTTGTTTATTATTGCTAATTTATTAGCAATAATCTAATTTTCTAATGGTAGGACAACCTTCTTTTTAAAATTAGCATCAGGCAGTTGTACAATGGGTTTCTTTAAGAATGTTCACTTATGTATGCAGTGAATCTTGATCATGATCTCTCTTCCACCATTCCCCCTTCTCCACTTCCCAAACATTCTCAGGAGTCCCTTGTTCCTCTTTCCCTCATGAACATAAAGTATTTTGATGACAGCTGCCCCTTCTCCTTCTCTCCATTTGTCTGCTTCTTTCCTGCTAGCAGGAAATCAGACTTGCTCCAATAGTAGGACACTCATCATAATTTGGCTTTCAAGGGATGGAGTTATGCTCCATAGTTGGTTGTTCTGTAGTCATGCATGTGTGTTACTTTGGAAATCCAGGGAAAAGGTAATGTATTCTTTCTTGCCCTTTTCCTTTTTTGAAGACCTTTAAAAAAAATGACCTACAACAGATGAGTGGATCCAAAAAAATGTAGTAACTATACACAATGGAGTTGTATACAGCCATTAGAAAGAATAATATTATGTCATTTGCAGGGAAATGGATGGACCTAGGAGAAATCATGGTAAATGAGGAAAGCCAGGCTCAGAGAGGCAAATGGCACATGCTTTCTCTCATAGGTGGAAGCTAGATCTAAAATACACTAGGACATGATAAATTATACAAGATTCTAGGCATTCACACACAGTGAGACCACAGGAGAATACTTAGGAGAGGAACAGAAAGGCACAAAGCCTATGTACATCTGATCATACAAAATAATATTTATTAAAATAAACTCCAGGAAGTGGAAACAAGGGTTTTTTGCTGTTTTTTTCTTTTCTTTTTGTCCTGTTTGTTTATATGTCTTTGGGAGTATAAGGAAAGGCACAGAAATGGAAGACAAAAGGTGAACAAATGCAGTAATGATACTCACTGGACACTACGTTGAAAATGAACTATACAACTTATGGATGGGGATGGGACGGAAAAATTGGGAGAAGTGAGGGAAGGGATGACACTGTCCAGAAAGAAATGTACTCTTTATCTGACTTATGTAAATGTAACCCCTTTATACACCACCCTCTGGAGTTTCACAGAGCAAATTTAAAATGACAAAGCATTAAAGTAGCTCAATATCTGAGGAAAGAGTATTTGGATTTAAATATAGATCACCAGGAATTGTCCAGTATGAAGACTAGAGGATGAGAAAGACTGAAGGAAAATGAACAGAGTCTATGAAACATAAACTTGTTTGTGTAATGGGTGAGAAACAAGAAAGACAACATATTTGAAGTAGTGATAAAGAAAATTCCAAATATGCTGAAAGCAATTATCTACCTCACTAAGACTTTTTTTTTTTTTTTGTCGGTCGTGGGGCTTGAACTCTGGGCCTGGATGCTGTCCCTCAGCTCTTCAGCTCAAGGCAAGCGCTCTACCACTTGAGCTACAGTGCCACTTCCGGTTTTCTGGTGGTTTATTGGAGATAGGAGTCTCACAGTCTCTCCTGCCTGGGCTGGCTTTGAACCGCGATCCTCAGATCTCAGCCTCCTGAGTAGCTAGGATTACAGGCGTGAGCCACCAGCGCCCGGTTTCACTAAGACTTTTAATACACCTAAATAGTATATAAGTACAAACAGGTCTACATGTAGGTATAACATATGCAAACTGTTGAAATATAAAGATAAAAGCAAAATCATGTGGACTAGACAGATCAGGAGGAAACAATGAAAGGAACGACATTGATCATACTCATAAATAAGCATGTTGAGTTGAAACCCCTGTGTATAACAATTCAAAGAT